GTAGGAGTTTCCTTGCAAACGTGAGGGAGGTAATTGTAAACCAAGCTATTAATGGTCTGGTTGGTTTGCAAGAAAAACTTCTAAACGATATCTTGAAAAGCAAGGAGGCGATAAAGGTTGGTTCTGTTGATGTAGGGATCACTATGATACAAGAAAGACTTCGTTGCAAAAGAGCACTTGTCATAATCGACGATGTAGCTTCAATACAGCAAGTAAAAGCAATAGCTAGAGATCGTGATTGGTTTGGACCTGGAAGCCGGATTATTATAACAACAAGAGATCAACATTTGCTAGAGCAAATTGGAGTGGATAGCACGTATCCCGCTGAAGAAATGGATGAGGAAGAAGCTATAGAGCTCTTCAGTTGGCATGCCTTCAAAAGAGATTATCCTGATCAGGAATATCTTGACCTCTCAAAACGTGTAATTCATTACTGTCAGGGTTTGCCACTAGCACTTGAAGTTTTGGGGTCTTTTCTGAATAAAAGAACCACATCAGAGTGGGAAAGCCAATTGGAGAGATTGGAAAGAAGTCCTCATGAAACAATTACAAAAATACTCAGAATAAGCTTTGACGGGCTACCTAGCCATACAGACAGAGATATATTCCTTGATATATCTTGTTTCTTTATTGGAATGGACCAAGACTATGTCACACAAATATTAGATGGATGTGGCTTTTCTGCAACGCTAGGAATCCCTATCCTAATTGAACGGTGCCTTGTAGATGTTAGTGAGGAAAACGAGTTGATGATGCATGATTTGCTTAGAGAGATGGGAAGAGAGATCGTTCGTGAAAAATCCGGCCGTGATGACCCTAAAAAATTTAGTAGATTGTGGAATCGCGAAGATGTAACAGATGTATTGAGAGATGAGTCTGTAAGTACTTTCCCAGTAAGATTTAGAATGCATCATGCAAGAGAAGCATATGTATCATGTGTCTATAATAAAATAAATGCTCTACATCGGTTTCGTTTTCCATTTCTTTATATATATGCATTAATATCAAAGTAACAAAAATATGTGCTTTGATTGCCAAAACAAACTATAGGTCCTAACATACATGGACTTTCATGTCTGTAAATCATGTTTCATATGCAAATGACCCTTTTCTTACTTAGTACTACTCTTAACAGGGAACTGAAGCAATTGAAGGACTTGCTCTAGATTTGCAAAGCTCTGACAAGGCTATTTTCAGTGCAGCAACATTTACCAATATGAAAAAACTGAGATTACTCCACTTCAACAATGTAGAGCTCACTGGAGAGTACAATATCTTCCCCAAAAAGCTAACATGGTTGTGCTGGCATGGATTCCCTTTAGACTCCATACCAGATGACTTTCCTAATCAACCGAAACTAGTTGCTTTAGACTTGCAGTATAGCAAACTCAAAATCGTTTGGAAGGATTGCAAGGTATAATAATCTCAACCTAGTTGTTGGCTCTTTCTATCTTGTTCTATACATGCACTATGTTTCACTCTCTCTTCAATTTGCACTAATGTTTGTACCAGACCTTCCTTTTGGATTTTAATTTTGATTTTGTGTAACAGTTTCTTGAGAAGTTGAAAATCATTAATCTCAGTCATTCCCATTGCCTAATAAAATCACCAGACCTTTCAAAACTCTCATGTCTCGAGGAATTGATATTGGAAGACTGTACGAGTTTGTCTGAGGTTCATTCATCCATAGGGGATCTTGGAAGACTTTCTGTGGTAAATCTTCAAGACTGCAACATGCTAAAGGATCTTCCACTGAATTTCTATAATTCCAAGTCTATTGAAACTCTTCTACTTAATGGTTGTTCAAGATTTGAAAACTTGGCTGATGGCTTAGGGGACATGATATCATTGACAACTCTGGAAGCAGATAACACAGCCATAAGACAAATACCATCTTCCATAGTAAAATTGAAGAACTTGGAAATTTTATCAGTATGTGAGGTGACAAGGTCGCTATCAACTAATCTTTTGCCGCCTTCTTTACATGGTTTAAGCTCGTTAAGAGAATTAGTTCTTAAAGGCTGTAGTCTAACCAAGGATGCAATCCCTAGGGATCTCTGGAGACAAATTTCCTTAGAAAATTTAGATCTTGCAGACAATGACTTTCATAGCCTACCAAGCCTCAGTGGTCTTTCAAAGCTTGAAATTTTATCGTTAGACGACTGCTTAAATCTTCGTGCAATCCCAGATTTACCAACAAATTTGAAAGTTCTGAAAGCAGCTGGCTGCACAGGATTGGAAAAAATGCCAGATTTTTCAAAAATGTCAAATATGAGAGAATTGTATCTAAGTGGTTCTCATAAACTTACTGAGATTCCAGGCCTGGATAAGTCATTAAACTCCATGACACGGATTCATATGGAAAGTTGCATGAATCTCACTGCTAATTTTAGGAAGAACATCCTACAGGTTAATCCTTCTATCTCTCATCTTTCTCTTTCTACCACACACACACGTACACATGCGTGCATAGGAATGTGTTTCTTATACAAATTTGACCCTACATGGTATAGGGATGGACTTCTTGCGGATATGGTGGCATTGTTCTGGATGGAGATGATATTCCTGATTGGTTCGACAGTGTCCATGAGAATAATATTTTGGATTTCAATGTTCCTCAAAGTGTTGGTCGTAATTTTAAAGGGTTAACTTTGTCCTTCGTTTACTCTTCAGACTTGGACAATGAAATTCCTGTTGTCATTAGCATTACAGACTTGACCCAGTGTACTGTTTTTGAAGCCTGGATCACAGATATAGCAGAACAATATGACTATGAACTTGGAAATCATTATGTTTGGCAGGGACAGTTATCAAACGACGAGCTCAAATTGCAAGAAGGTAATCAAGTCTTGATTCAGATAATGCCTCAAGATAATTGTGTGAAGGTGAAGAAAACAGGTGTTAGCCTGGTATGGGACAAATTTATGAACGAAAATATGGCTGAATATGATCTTTGTGGGTATCAACGTCGCCCATCTCAAAAGGCAGGACCAAGCCATGATATCTCTGATGACTCCATTGATCCCAAAAATGATAATGGCATAACAGAATCACAACACTTTTCAGAACTCCCATATCTCGAAGACTGCAACAATGATTTTCATAAGGATCTCAGTTGCGTAATTTCCTTAATAGATTTAGATCTTAGAGGCAATGATTTTCATAGCCTAATTCTATTCCCCAGTGGTCTTTCAAATCTTCAAACTTTGTGTTTAAATGACTGCATACATCTTCGTGCAATCCCAGATTTACCAACACGTTTGAAAGTTCTGAAAGCATCTGGCTGCACAGGATTGGAAACAATGCCAGATTTTTCAAAAATGTCCTATATGAGAGAACTGTATCTAAATGACTCGCTCAAACTCACTCAGATTCCAGGTTTGGATAAGTCATTAAACTCCATGACAAGGATTCATATGGAAGGCTGCACCAATCTCACTGCTGATTTTAGGAAGAACATCCTACTAGATTCTCTCTCTGTCTCTATCTCTCTCTCTCTCTCTCTCTCTCTCACACACACACACACAGACGCAAATGTATATGCACATGCATAGATAAGAATGTAATGATTATACAAATCTGGCTCTACATGGTATAAATAGGGATGGAGTTCTTGCGGATATGGTGGAATTTTTCTGAACGGAATTTATGATATTCCTGAGTGGTTTGAGTTGGTCGATGATGTGGACAATCAAGTCTACTTTGAAGTTCCTGCTCGTCGTGATTTAAGAGGGTTGACTATATGCTTCTTTTACTCTTCAGACTACCCAGAACTTGAAGATTCTCAAGGTCCTATTCGCATTACAGTTAAAAATCTTACCAAACAAACTGCTTTGCACGCAAGGATAGCATTTGCCTCAGTAAAAACTTCAAGAGAACCAGAAGACCATTATCTTTGGCAGGGACAATTGTCAAACGATGTGCTCTGTTTGCAAGGCGGAGACAAGATCTCCATTCTAGTAAGGCCTCTGGTTGATTTTGTGAGAGTGAAGAAGACAGGGGTTTATCTAGAATGGGACAAACTCATGAAGGAAAATATGCGTAATCCTGACCCTCATTTGTATGATTTGGAAACAAATCGGATTTTTTCCGGGGGAGTTTCTGATGGGGCAGGATGGAGCCATGACGCATCTGTTCCCACTAATCAATCGAATGCTGTAGATGAACCATTAGCAGTGGAGGGGTGTTTAGCGCGTCTTAAAAGTTTTTTGTTCAATCTTTTTTTCAATTGTTTTTCCTTTTCCCACCTGCGTTGATTGTGGTTAGTTACCAAAGATTTGAGTTGATGGGAATGATTTAAGATTGAATTTTCCTCCTCCTTTTTTTCTTTGCTCTAAATTCTTCCAATTGAAATGGAAAACTTCAGCACACGTCATCTGGAAAGGAAAGCGCCGCAACCTTGAATTGAATTCTATACATTGCCGGGAGCCAAATTCTCCCTTTACTTTTTTTGGTCGAAAAATTCTCTCTTTTCTTTCACTTCCAAAAGAAGACGCAAATCCCTTTCACAGTTATATCAGAAATAAAAAGAATGTAACAATTGACCAGTCATCACCTTCTTATGGCTCTTTGTGTAACTTACAATATATTACTAATCATTTTCGGTTACAGAACACTAGTTGCTTGCTGCTGCCGATGATCTGGATCCAATATGTTCAGTGTCCTTAAACCTTCGCCAATGAGAATCTACTAGGGTTGGCATGGCAAGGCAGGGCATGGCTCTTGTGTAAACACCTATCTGATTGATCCTGGTATATGTTTTCTTTGAACAATCAGGATAACATTACAGGTGAGTGAGAGAGAGAGAGAGAGAGAGAGAGAGAGAGAGAGAGAGAGGCATAAGGAAATATCATACAGCAGAAAATAATTACATATCAAAACTTCCTATTAACCTCTTCGGTAATCTGATCCTGTCATCAAAACTCCCCTAAAACCTCCATACAATAGCTTGTTTTTTCGATCATAATGGTCTCAATTTCTCATATTACTCCTTGCCTCAAATGGATCAACTGAAATTAACTTCTACCAACTTGAGAACATTTCCTGACTTCTTGAGAAATCAATACAGATTATCCTACTTAGACCTTTCAGGGAACCAAATTCATGGTGAGGTGCCAAACTGGATTTGGAGGCTCAATCTTCTTGAAGACTTAAACATTTCAGGCAACTCCCTGGTAAGTTTAGAAGGTCCTTTACCAAACCTCACTTCTGCTCTAAGCTTGCTTGAACTTCATTCCAACCAGCTTCAGGGACAAATCCCAATTTTATGGACACATCGGATGGCTGGAGACCCATGGCACCTGGCCAATGCTTCAAATCATAGACTTAGCTCACAACAATTTCAATGGGGAAATACCAGGAAGATCTTTGAGAACATGGCAGGCAATGCTGGCAAACCAAGGTAATCCCCCTCAGAAATCAACCACCTTCTTGATGTGGATGGATCAGATTATATTAATTATCAGGATTCAATAACAGTTGTGAGCAAAGACATGGAGATGGTTTTATTAGTAAAGATTTTAACTATCTTCACTGCGATCAACTTCTTGTGCAACAAATTCAGTGGACAAATACCTGAGGAGATAGGAGGATTCAAATCATTGTACATCCTCAACTTGTCCAACAATGCTTTCACAGGTGCAATCCCACCATCGTTAAGTAACATGCGAAAATTTGAGTCATCAGATCTCTCAGTGAACAGCCTGAGCGGGCAAATTCCAGCAGAGTTTGCAAAGTTCACTTTCCTCTCGTTCTTGAATCTCTCAAGCAATCACTTGGTTGTCAGGATCCCACACAGCACTCAGTTTTCAACATTGCCAAAATCTTCCTTCGAGGGAAACAAGGATTTACGGGGGCCTCCTTTGACAGCAGATGACATAGCTGCAGGGTTTTCACCACCGCTAATGTCCAATGGAAGGCGTGTTCCAAATTCTGTCCATGATCAGATTGATTGGGATGTTCTAAGTGTTGAAATTGGATATATAGTTGGCCTTGGAGTTGCCATTGGGTGCCTTGTGTTTTGCAAGGGACTGGTATTTCAAAGCTGGGGAGGGCATTGTAATAGAAGGAGAAGACTTTGAAATAATGATGATGAAGAGGGGTTTGATTGATGCACCCTAACTCCATGTTGATCACATATTGTCATATAATGTAAGAAACAGAGGAAAAGTTTGCATGGCATATTCAAACAATTTTGCTTTTCTAAAGTTTATCATAAATCAAAATCACATCAAGACCAGGAAAGTTTTGAACTGATCTTACCATAAAATATTTGGTACCAAAAGCGCGGCGCCTGTTTCATGCTTGAGGCGAGGCCAGGTTCTGGTGGTCACAGACCATGTCATCATCAGCAGTGTTTTACTGAATACGTCACATGTCCACTGAGAACATACTGGCTTCTCACCTCCGTTTAGCTTTGTCTTTCTTCTTGTAAAAGGAAAAATGGAATATTTAGTGTCGGTCACATGAACAAAAGAAGGTGGTGGTAAGCACTAGCAGGCTTCAACTTAAAAATAGAAGAATCTCATGCATAGGCAACTTTGTTATAAAATTATTGAACAGAAAAACATTAACTTATGAGTTCAAATATCATATACGACAACATTATAATGTACGTAAATGCATATTCTTTAGAAGCATAAACTCATAATCAAATGTAGGGGTGGCATTTTAAACCGAAAAACCGAAAAATCGCAAAAACCAACCGACAATTTACCGCAATGAAACCGCAATCGCGGTAAACCGAACCGCATTTGCGGTATTAAGAACCGAACCGCATTTGCGGTTGCGGTTGCGGTATTTGATTTTCAAAACTTGCGGTTACCGCAAACCGCAAAGTATAGCCACACGGATGAGAAAGTTGAATTTTACAAGGAAATGGAACATATGACAACTTGTAAGTAATTAGTTTATTTAT